CACACACACACACACATATATATATATATACGTAAGGCTGTCAAATAAATGTGGTAGAGAAGAGTAGCATCAGTATCTCCCTCTTTAATGTCAAAAACTTAAATAAACTCTTTACCTGACCATAAATACAGGAGGTTATGGATCAAAAAGAAAATGACATATATTTTTCTCTCTAAACATAGATCTTAACTAAAGKAAGGAATAAATAATGTTTAAAAACCCAACACTTTAAAACACAAACCTGACTGAAATGAATGAGTGAAAATCAGATTTATAGATTCTGATGATAATCTAACCTTAGTAGCTGACTTAGCTGTAGGTCTAGTTCAACATAAATTACTTTAAAGGTGCTCTGCTGGTCAGTCAGCTCAAAAACTATTATTTTTTTGGCCACTTGGGGGCAGCAAACGCTAAYCTGTAAAAACTACATGCACTATAGCCTGCTAAATTTTAAAATTAAACAGTTAACAATAATTAATTAAATAAAATAACATTATGAAAACGTACGTGATTATGAGGATTATGGTTTATTTCGTAAAATTCCAAAACATGTTTTCTTTTTTGATTAGTTTATTGATTAGTTGCATATTTCTTGGTTTGTAATCACATTAAAAACACAGCTTGTCGAATGACTTTAGAATAGATCACCATAAAATATCTGTTAAGCCTGTTCCCACTTGTAGTTATTAAATAAATTGAAATTTGTGTGCACTAAATGAATTTYTCTGAGAAAAAACGTTTATCAAACGCCGAATGCAAAGAGAACGCGTTTTTCTTTTAGATATTTTGACCCTTTGCGGACGCCGTAGCTACAAAAATCACAAGACGAAGCTTTAGAAAGACAGAAGTGCTTCTAAAGGGTAATTAAATGTATTTTTCATTCATTCATTCATTCTGTTGTCTGCTGTTGCATTTGTGGCTGGATAAATCTATTTGGTTTATTATCCGTTGTTACTTTTRGTTCTAAAAGTGTCGTAAAAATGTTTTAATGGTTTATAAGGGTTAATAGTTTCAAAGTTCAGTGACAGTGAGGGCTAAAGTGCGGGCAGCTTAAAGAAACGCAGCACTGTTGAGTGACATATACATATTTACATTTTTATTAACTCAAGAAATGTTCTTTGTAATTTGACTCAGTGATGCACAATAATTTAATTGCATGTGAAATATCTTGTTTGTGTGTGTGTGTGTGTGTGTGTGTGTGTGTGTGTGTGTGTGTGTGTGNTTTTTTTTACAAACACAGAGTCTCACTAGACAAAGTTGCTAATGATGGTGCTAAAAGTAAACTGTGGGGTCCTGACATCTTTGTATTTACATCTTGTTATGCTGTTATTGTGGTTTGTTCAGTGTATAAGAGTGTATTAGAAARGCCTTTTAAAAAAGAAAAACATTACACAATTTTCCTACATGCAACTACAGAGTCCCAAACAGACACATATCCTGACTTACATACAACCAAGAAAGAATCTAATCTGTATACAAAAAGTTCAAATAAAGGCTAAAATGTGACCCCCAACTATGTGTTTTGTCTTTAAACATATTTATTATAAAGGGTTTATTTGTCTTGAATTTACGAGAAATAAAATTTGTGCCATCTGCATGCAAACACTGTAAATAATACATTTTCAAATTTACAATTCTATTACCTTCTTTATATCAAGGACATTACTAAATCATATAACAAAATATTTATTCTCAGTAATAACATCTAGAATTTTTTTATCAAACTGGAAGACCCTGAGCTTCTTTGCAGCAGTTAAATAACTGAGATTCAACTTGTTTCTCTCAGAGTATTCAAAACAAGTTACCCAAAATTAATTTAATCTATTTCAGGATATTTTCATACCTGAATTTTATGTCAAAATTCATCTTCAAGTTCACGTCATTCTGAAATCAAACAACATTAAGGACAACTGATTTAAGCTGTAAGAAATATKATTTTAGTGATTGTAAATTGTCAAATAAAATCAAAATAAATGAATAGACCTCACTAAATCTGCGTTGGATTAATTTCTCAAAATGACCGTGTCTGTGGTGTCCAGCAGCATAGAGAAGTGGTCATGATTTCCAGCAGTTTATTTTCTGCCTCATTTTTAAAATTTATTTATTTATTTTGTTAGATTACTGATTATGTATACATTTACTGAAATTCATCATCATATTAAATTAGAACTTTAACAATTCTTTGGGAAGATTCCTTCAGGAAAATTAAAAACAACGGTTAGGTCTTAAAGTACAAAGAATGTATGCTCGGTGGACCTAAGGACCATGAACATCAGAAAATGTCCCCGAAAAAATCGGATCAGTGGGTGGTCCTCTACAGTATGCCAAAAATAAAAATGTGACTTTTTAAGGTGCTTCCTGACAAAATTGTTCCCTTTGCAAAGAAAATCCTTTGGACCAAATTTTGTGTCGATACAACTTTTCTAACGACTGCCGCATGTGGGGTGAAAATTAAAATGGTTGAGCTCATTTGTGCATGCCAACATGCTTGTTTAGATACGAAATACAAAGTGAAACAAAGTGGCAGCATAGTGGCTCAGTTGGTAGAGCAGATGCCTCTCAGCAAGAAGGTCACCGGATCGAATCCCAGCCCGGGAACCCTACTGGGTGGAGTTTGCTTGTTCTCTCCTTGCGTGTGTGGGTTTTCTCCAGTTACTTTGGCTTCCTCCCAAAAAAAAACATTGGTGACTCTAAATTGTCCGCATCTATGTGGCCCTATGATGGACTTGTGACCAGTGATTGCTGTGGGCACCATGAACCTGAAAGAAAGAAGCTAATGCATGGGCTTACAAGACACAAATAAAACAAATGTCATTGTTCACATATTTGGTGAGAACAAACAGTCATGAAGAGTGGCATTTGGTCATGACTTTCTTCACTTCCAGGAACTGACATCGGTGCCACCTAACAACTTGCAGCATGTGTTGCCACTGCTGATCACTTGATTGTAATCCAGGATAGTTCCCTGTTTATTAAAGTCATTGACATTCTAATCATTGGTCACTTACATCCTAATCATTGGTCACTTACATCCTAATCATTGGT